GCGGCGGTGGTGGCGGCGCGGCGGCAGCGGCGGCGGCGGCTGCTCACTGTGGAAGAGGGGTGCGCGGCAGCAGCAGTGGGCTACGCAAGTTCCGCAAGGGCTCCCCCGTCCTCGCCTCCAGCCTCTCCTCGCTCACTGCCGGTGCGGGGCCGTCTCGCGACGGCGACTCTTGCGGCCGAGCGCGCGGAGTGCGGTTCTGAGGGGAGCGCATCGCCTCCGCCGCGGGGCCACCTCGCCGCCTCCTCGCTCGGTGGCGGGTGCAGTTCTCGCCCGAAGCTCTGTCCCCAGCTCCATGAATGGAAATCGGCTCTGCAGGTGAGTCGGAGCTGCTAGGCCGGCGGCGTAGGGTGTCACCCCGCAGTTGTCCCCTGGGCTTCGTCGCCAGCTCGCGCCTGCCCGGGGGCGCGCGGGGCGGGCGCCGCTGGTTTCCTGTCCCGCCGGCGGCCTCCCCGCTACCCCGCCGCAGCTCCCCCGGGGCCACGGCATTGGCGAGACTGCCGCGCAGGGCTTCTGTTTGGGGTCATCTAGGCGGTACCGTATTACTCACTCTCCCCACACCCCCGCTTTTCTTCAACGAGAGGGCAGTTTGCCATCGCTTTTGTTATCCATCCCGGCGGAGATGCAGCGGCGCGCGTCCTTTGGCCGGCTGGCGTACCCGGTTGCGGGGGTGGCCGGCCCCCTCCCTTACCTGCCTCTGGGGTAGCGGTCAAGATGCGCTCGGATAACGGATGCGATTAAATTTGAAGTAGGTGTTACTGCTACGTCAAATGCAGGATGGCATTGCCTCCACACCCCTAATTCTGCTGTTTGTTGTGGCTGCGTGGTGTGTAGTTTCTGAGGAGCTTGGAAATGTCTCTTTGATCGGCCTAGACCACTGCTTACAGGAGGAGATGGATCTTAAAATTACTGACAGTATCTTTTCATTTGCTGTTCCCTGACGAAGCACTTGTAATATTTCTAGAAATTTGGAATTTAGGAAAGCTGTTTTTTCTCCTGGGGCCTGGGGGCAAATTTGCAACATGGACTGTACTTGTTTTAGGGAAAGAATAAAGAAGGGGTGGGGATGTAGCTCAGTGGTAGAGCACTTGCCTGGCACGCACAAGGCCCTGGATTCAATTCTTAGTACCAGCAAAAATACTCCTTAGGATTGAGGGATATAAAATAGGCATTACATAACGGTTTGCTTACTAGATGATCATGCTTGTATGTTATATTTTGAAGTACGTTTCATCCAGATGACCACTAATTTGTCATTTTCAACATATTTGGAAGGGAGGATGTTTCGTTACTATAGCATCACAAGTCTCTGAATTTCACGTCTCTGCCAATTTGAGAGGTACCTAAACATGAGAAAAATGTATGTAAAAGAAACCAGTGACATGATAATTTTGTTGAATAGGTTAAGGAGTATAATTGTCAAGTGGATGCAGAAAGGCAGTCAAAAATTGTGAGCCGAGAAATTGGGTTTTTTTGTTTGTTTTTGTGTTTTTGAGACAGGGTCTCGCTATGCAGTTTAGGCTAGCCTTGAACTCACTTTGTAACCCAGGCTGGTCTCGAACTCGCAAAGATCCTCCTGCCTCAGCCTCCCAAGTGCTGGGATTACAGGTGTGCACTACCACATCCGGCTAGTGGTTTTTTTGTTGTTGTTGTTTTGTGTTTTGTCTTTTTGAGACAGGGTCTCGCTATGCAGTTCAGGCTGGTTTTGAACTCGCTTTGTAGCCAGGCTGGCCTCAAACTCCCAACGATCCTCCTGCCTCAGCCTCCCTAGTGCTGGGATTACAGGCGTGTGCCACCATGCCCAGAGTGAGCAGAGAAATTGAGAGGAGAGTTTCTTATAAGTTTTATTGCCCAGAATTTTCTCTATCTAGTTTCTACCATTTCTCTGGTTGCTCTCCACTTTTTGCCTTCTCCATATTTATTAAAAACAGAAAGTTTGTTTATATTGTGAAGACTCATTTATCATAGATTTGTGTATTTCCAAAACTATCCTGCTCTTCTTTTTAAATTTTCTACCGTAGTATTTGTTCTTACTGTTATGTAACTGTCCCACTGTTGTCAATCTTGAAAAACTAAACACGGAAGTTAAACTTTTTATTCATCATTCTAAAACTTCTGAGGCTATTTCAAAAAAAATTTAAAGATATTTTCCCCTTGTCTCTTTTGTTTGGGATTTTGTCCTTTTTTTTGTCTCTTTTGTTAGGGATTTTCGTATGAAAATATGACCTAATATACAGGCAACATCCTCGAAAAAATTTACGACATCACACCACTAGTCAATTGGTACAGCTAGTCAAATCGTGGCTCAGAAAATACTTTTTATCTTTTCATTCTCTTTTGGAGGTCTTTTGTTGTGAAAACATATATTCATTTACCTGTCTTTACATTGAGAAAGTATTGTTAGATCATTCTATCAGCCATATCCTTGGCCATCTTGCAACGTAAAGTTCGTTTTTGAGCGCAGTTTGTGTGATGACAGTCACGTAATACTGAAGATAAGCTGTAAGATTATCATTGTTAAAAATAAAACTTTCTTTCATTCTTCCTAGTACTTATATATAATTGTTATGCTGAATGTAGTTGAAAGCCATGTGCAACTAAATTTTAAATTCAGAATTTGACAGGTGAGGGGCTGGGGATTTAGCTCACCGGCCTGGCAAGCGCAAGGTCGTGAGTTCGGTTCCCAGTACCGGAGAAAAACCAAAAAAAAAAAAAAGAATTTGACAGGTGAATATTTTAATTAAAAGTGTTTTAGATGTAAGTTTCCTCTGACAGTCTGTTGGATTAGTATTGAATCTTGGCTCTCCATTTCTGTTGTTTTTCTTTTGGATGGAGATTCCCAGGAATCATGATAGGATGTTTTAAATTCTGATTGCTACATGGGCACATAGGAAACTTATTTTAGTACATTAGAGGACTTCAAGTACAAATACCATGTAATTGTTTCTCGGTGAATAACTCCTTCCTAAAAATTGGTATTTGTGTATCCCCACCTTCTCTCCAGACTTGGGATTCAACCCAAAGCCTTTGCACAGAGCTTCATCCCCATCCTTTTTTTAATTTTTGCTTTTTTTTTATTTTTAATTTGGACAGGATCTCACCAAGTCTATAAATTGCTGGGGCTTGAATTTGAGATACTCCTACCTCAGCCTTCCAGAGTGCTGGGATTATACCAGTAGATGTGTGCCATCACACCAGGCTTCTGTTCTTTTTCACATGAACTATTTTAAATGATTTTAAAGTTTGTTCTGTATAATCTACTGGTTTAGTAACATCTGAGCTTTGATTTAGCCAAAAAAGATGCATATTTATTTAAAAAATAGTAGTTTAGCATCTATGCTTGTGACTCTTTAGTTAAGAGAACTTGTGAAACCCTACTTTTTTATGGTCAAATTACAGCTGAACTGTAAGGTTATGTTTTATTTCCAAATAAAATGGAAAGGGGCTGGGGATTTAGTTCAGCGGCAAAGCGCCTGCCTGGCAAGTGCAAGGTCGTGAGTTCGGTTCCCGGTACCGGTGAAAAACAAACAAACAAACAAAAAAAACAAAACAAAAAAAAACAAAGCCAAATAAAATGGAAGTAGGAACAGCAGAAATGTTCATTTAGCTACCACTTCTCCTGAAGATCTATTTATTTTAGGAGTGTAATACCCTGTATTTTTAGATAAAGTCAGACTGTTAGGGAGAAATTATACTTAACAATGGAAGAAAAACATTTACTTTTGCTGTAAATCAGTGACATGCAAATTTATTTGAAATGTTTGGTAGTTTTATACAGTCATGTAAAAGTGAATAGACTTTCTTCAGTGTTTAAGTTTGTTTTTGAATAATGTTTTAGAGTTCTGCATTTCTTAAATAATAAACATTTAAAAAGTCATTTGGGACCACATTTTAAAGGAGCAAAAATTGAACGTATAGGAGACTAAAACTAAATCAAGAGTGGTATTCCAATGAGAAGAGTAAGAGTTGTGGATTCAAAATGCTAAAAACATAATGCTGTAGGTTCCCAGTTTAGTGTTTAAAACAAACTTTATCACTTTGGAAGTGTTTGTATTTTTACACAAATTTTGTCTTGAAGAAAAAAAATGTCAAACTGGTTCTCCTTTTGGTGAGTGAGAACTTGAAAATTAAAGGTTTTCTGTTGGATTGTCACTTCAATGTTAACACGCTGTTTTGGAGTAGCACTTGTAGTTTGTTGGGTTTTTTTTTAAGTATTTGCTGCTCATAACTGGTCCTGTTAATTTATAAATGTGCCTGCTTGTGTTGTTTTTGTTTTAGAATTTAATTTCTTTCAGTGATGGGATGCCCTGAGGGAAAACTGAAAAGGAGTCATGAAACATCTTTTTTCTTTTAAACAAAGACAAGAAAAGAAAGGGAAAAAAGTAACCTTCAAATGGAATTTGATTAAAATGATGAAGATATTTAAAATTGTATCCATGATTCCATCACCCTGTATAACCATACCATTCTTTACATTGTTAAATCAAGTTCTAAGCTAATTTAGTTATTTTTTAAAAGTAAGGGATTATGTTGGAAAGCAGTGCAAATGAATGAGAAGATATGTAGATGCTTCTTCATTTTTTCTTTGAGAGATTTTTATGTAATAAAGTGGTAATTTAGAATTTACTTATACTGTATAACTTTGTATATTCATTGGGACCATTACATTTGTTTGGTTCCATAAGCCTGGCCTGACAATGTGTAGCAAGGCCTGGGGCCCTGAAAAGGGGGCATTTCCTGGAAGAGTTCAATGTTGTCAATGGAAAAACCCAAGCTCAGAGATGAATTTTTGCCAAATTGTCTTAAGCTGTAGGATTCTGGTTGAATACTGGTTTACTTTATAATATAATCATCTAGTACATTGGTTTTTATAGTGTTAAAGTACTTGAGTGTCTACTTGAAAAATGAATTTAAAACAATGTTTTGTTAATCTAAAAAGCATATTCTCTTACAGTACTTAAAAAAGTAATTTATAAATCTTGATTTTCTTTGTTTTAAATGGATAAGAGAAAAAAAGCCCAAAGTGATGGTTCTATTTTCAGGAAGGTAAAACTGAAATCATAATTTATTTAAGATCAGTATCTTTTCTACGCCTATTTAGTTTCAGAATGTTGGGATAAACAGTATTTACCAGACATTCCTAGTTTCTAATTCAGTTGTCTAGGATACTCAGTAGACCCTCATTCTTGGCTTATTAACAAAACAGATGTGAGAAAGAATATTGTTTGGTTTTTCAACCATAATGATTGTGCTGTTAGTATACAAGAACAGCCTTTCTGTATTTGGAGTTTTTGTAGTTTTCTGCCATTATCTGTGTT